CTAAATATTTTTTTTCGATTCTCTTAAAATCAGTTTGATCTGGTCTGCGTTGGTAAACTAGGAGAACTTTAATAAGGACTTTAATATCATCATATATAATGTAATTTAGACAGGACAAACTTTCAGCGGTGCAATCAGTTCATTATTCTGTTTTTAACATAAGAATTAAATTTTTTAATATAAAATTTAAATGCAATCACTTGCAATCATTTCTTTCCGCTCCCTGTCCCTACTAATATCCTACATCTACAGCCCTGCTGTCGGCAAATCTCGCGCAAGACATTGTTTTCAAAACATACAGCATCAAATGGTGCAGAAATCAAGTTTTCAAACACTGTGCTTTAACTTGTCACTTTTGCTCTGTCCACCACAACAATGAAAAGACCGAATAAAACTAGGTGGATTTTTTTTAGGTTATTGTTTTGTTTTGTTTTTGTTGTTGTCTCTTTGCATATAGGACGCGAATAACGACTTTTGATAATCGGCTAGATCGACGTTAAAGCGAGGCAAAATATGTGCATCTTTGGACACATATTTTAAACTTTTTGAAAGCGTTCTGTCTTCCAAGGTATATTTTTAGTCCAAAAATGTGTTTCTTACTAAGTCGATATGTAGTGTTTAAAAAACGAGCAGGAGTGCTTTATCGGGAGATATAGACACGAGACCAAAGGCCGAGTGTCTATATCCCCGATAAAGCACGACTGCGAGCTTTTTATACTACTTCTAGAACTCCAACATCCAGAAATTGTTATCATTTTATAAAAAAGCTAAAAAATGCGAAAACAGAGATTATGCATGTTAAACTTGTACTTATATATCCAGGACGAAGAGAAGTTACGAGCAAGCTTTACAAGACACTGGCCTAGAAAAGCTATGTGAAAGACGTGAAACAATTACATCTAAACTATTCAAAGAAGTTTGCAGACCAAAACATAAACTGAACAAATTGCTTCCACCTAATAATAACTGCCCTTACAACTTAATTAAGAAATAGAAGATCCTTTAATAAAATCAAGATATCAACAAAAAGAACACGCCGGGTCAAGTTTCATAAATTTCAATGCAATGAAATAACACTGCTCTATAACAATCTTTTAAATTAAATACTATATACGCCTTCTTAACTATCAATCATACATGTACATATATTCAATTCTATATTTTTCATATTTTACGAAATTTTATCTAATTTATATATTTTACATATCAAATATTGTAATTTTAACGTAATTCAGCCATTTGGCTGCTTAGTAAGTTATTTGAATAAAACTATCTATCTATCTATCTATCTATCTATCTGAGCATGTGCATTTGTCACAAATGAAAGGAATTTTGATCCCACACGTAAGAACGGCTAGTCTATGCTATACTGCATATCTGCACATTGATTCAAACTGTTTTAAAACCTAGCAAAGGTCTATGATGCGACATTAAAACTGAGACCTTTGCTAGTGTTGGGTTGCGATAAAGCGCTGATGACCTTCAACATCAGTTCTTTACATCTGATATAGAACTGATTAATAAAATATCAGTGCTTTATCGGGATATAAAGGTCCATCATGTGACCCAATAGTTGGATTCTGATTGGACTAATATCTCATGAATTATTAATGAGTTCTAGAACGAGTTTTCAAAACTGATGGGCGTGATCAAAGGACAAATCCATTATTAGAAAATCCTGTGCCAACAGAAAAATACAACTTTATCCAGTCGTGTTATCGAAAGCTTGGAAAATTAACTTTAAAATAGACCTGTCTGGCCTACCAGTTCTGACTATTAGTAAATGGAAAGCCCCCTTAATCTTCATCAGGATTTAGTCTGTTTCCAGGCCCGACTGACGAGTTTGGCATTGCCTGAAGCTCAATGATAGAAGACATTGTGTTAGGTGACTGATTCATAGTTGCCTTTCGAAGGCACACAACCTTTTTTGCAGCTGCTCGAAAGTCAGGCAGAAATATGACATAGATCCACGGACTAAGGAAGGAATTGACGGCTGGGAGAAAATTGAATACGATAATGACAAAAATTACCAAAGCGTTTTCGGCGTTACTTTTTGGACAGAACCWATTTTCATRCGTTATGCCAAGTGGGCTATAAAAYCCAGTAAAAAATCCAGTGGAGTTAAGCACAAATGTGAAGATAAAGCAGCAAAAATACAGCAACACAGATGCAAGGACCATTCGAACGGCTGCTCGTGTTCGGGTTGCTCGAATGTTTCGCTGTTCTTCACTAACATGGCTTTCAATGGTTCGAGGTGTACGCAGTCTTCTTGTTGTTTTGATACAAAGAACTAGTATCACACAGCATGCGATAGTACTCATAAAATTCAAAAATCGTTGTATCCATTTTGCAGCATTAGAAATGTCTATTTGAAATGTACGCTCACTGACAAATTTTATGAGAAGCAGTTCGGTGGTCCCGAATAACATCGGTATCAGCCAGGTCGCACTAAGGACTAATAAGCGTTCTTTTATTGTGGATGGCTGTGCTCTTTGTAGTGTTGCTCTTGTAGCTCTGAATCGTTCGATGCTGATTACCAGTAGACTAGCTAATGATACTCTATGTGAAACAAGCAAAAGGAGTATTATCATTAAAGGAAAACTACCGATGTGCGCTCTCGGCCATACAAGTTCAGAACGTATCGGGACTAGTCCGTCTAATAAACGGACAAAAAGAAACAGAGTATCTGACACGGCCATGTTGATAATCAAATGATGCAGTTTCTTGCGCACAGTGAACCGAGTAGCGAGTATAATCACGAAGATATTGCCAACAATTCCCAGTACACTGATTAGAACGTAGACAGTTTGCTTTGCTACTTTCTCCGAATCGCTTTCATTGCAACCATTAGTCGTAAAGTTGTTGTAGTGCTCTCTACTATTGTTGGAGTTGTTAGTGCGAAGAAGATTGGATGCTGACATTGTCACTTTTGAGGAGTTTCTCTCAATGCTTTCTCAAGATATTACTTTTATATGTGTTGTCGTTGCTTACTGCGCTTAATTATAGGTCTGAATGTTGCGAATCACACGAGCTTGGCACCTTGTTGTCTATGTTGATTTTGAAATTTTGTCAATTTTATCGGCAAGGAGAAGATTGGATGTCACATTTTAGCAGTTTCTATAAACGTTTAGCAAGATTGTGATGGTGCTTTAACGTTGTTTGCTGTGGTTATGTAAATTCTCTTGTGTTTCCGCCGGCGGAATGACATGAACTTGCAATAGTCTCTGCAATATTGTGGATGTGCTGAACTATGAGATGCTGAAATTCTCCACTTCCGTCAATTCTAACTGTTTTCTTGGCTGAGCATCGACCTTATATGTCTCAGCAATTGTTTACTGACGGTTAATTAATTTGGCCCTTTTGACTGGCCGAATCATCAATGACTAGGGAAAAAGTCCCGTTTAATTAAATAGTATCTTGTTGCCAGTGGTAACGAGATTTTTAATTGCGAACATCTCTTGCGGAACATTTATAAAATTTCACGGCTTATTTGCAAACTATTCATCATCAGGAATAAACTATACAAATTTATCTTTGGGTATTATTATGGATGCAAGTTTATTGGCTGCTCATTACTAGGTTATTATTTGTGAGTAGGACTATGAAGTTGTCCTTCTAATCTAGCAAATACAAACATGTCTATGCTGAAAACTC